TCTGCAAATAGCAGATGTGTGATGGCTGGCCCATTTTTGGAAAGTTTAATGCCCTGGAAAACTCCATTAGTCTGAGCATTTGTGATGAGAGCTGAGAAGAGTTCTGCTGCAATGATGAACAAATAGGGGGACAGAGGGTCCCCCTGTCTTATGCCCCTACTTGGAGAAATGAAACCACATATTTTACCATTGATCTTGAAAGAGATAGTGGTAGTTGAGATACAAACCATAATCAGCTTAATGAACTTCTGGTGGAACCCCATTTGTGTCATAATTCCTTCAATGCTGGGCCATTCCAATCTGTCAAAGGCTTTCATCAAGTCTAGCTTTAAAGACATAAAGAAATTTTTCCCAGAAGAGTGTCTGTTCAGAAAGTGGAAAGCTTCTTGAGCTATAACTATATTGTCCATTAACTGTCTGTCTTTGACAAATGCTGATTGGTGAGGGCTGATACAAGTCATAAGACAGAGCCTCAGCCTCTGAGCTAATACTGTGGAAAGGATCTTGTAAATCACACTGCAGAGGCTGATTGGTCTAAAGTTGGCCAAAGTTTCAGGATGAGCGGTTTTTGGAACCAAAGATAAGATGGTGTGGTTCCAGTATTTCAGAATGACCCCTGATTGGAAAAAACTGAGTATAGCAGCTAATACATCATCTTTAACCAGAGTCCAGAAATGTTGATAGAAAATGGCATTCATGCCATCTTCACCTGGAGATTTGTCAGCAGGCAGAGAGAAAAGAGCTTCTTTTACTTCTTCTTCTGAGACTGGTTTCAGTAGAGCTTGGTTCATGTCCTCAGAGATAGACTTTGGTATGAGATTGATGATAGATTCCCCTCCACTACTTCTTTCAGCAGTAAAAAGATCCCTATAGAATTCAGAAACATGGAGCTCGATATCTTCTTGAGTAGTGAGGGCTAATCCTTGAGGAGAGAGCAATCTAGTTATGGCATTAAGCTTCCTTTTCTGGATAGTGTAAGCATGAAAAAACTTGGTATTGGCATCTCCCTCCTTGAGCCAGTTAAGTTTAGCTCTTTGTTGCCAGTGCAGCTCTTCCTGATTATGTGCTGCATTCAAATCAGCTCTTGTCTGATTTCATTCTTCCCAGTGCCCTTCAGCTTTAGTTGCTCTCAGAATTTCTAGTCTCTTGGTAAGGACTTCAATTTTTTCCTGGTTCTGAGATTTGAACTTTGAGCTCCAGATAAGT